TCACTTATATATTATAAATTATATAATTAAATATATATTTTTTATATATTATACACTATGAAACTGAGTATAATATTGATACGACGAGTTAAAAAATAATAAATATGATTAAAATTGATTTTAAACGAGGTTTAATATTATTTTATTATATAAATTTAAACTTTAATTTAATTTATAATTATAAAATTAATCTATAAAATACATTTTATATTATTATATATATATATATATATATATATATATGTTTTTTCTACTATTGGTGTTTTTTTTTCCTAGGACCTATTTTTTTCATCTTTCTTTTGCTCCCTTTTTCATCCCTCTGAGTCTCTCTTATTCCTTAGAGATCCTCCCTAGTGCCCCGTATATATAGTAGTTGATATATCATGCTCCTTTCTCCTCTCCTCTCCACCATCATTCCTTTCTTACATTTCTGTATTCAACAAATTTGAAACATACCGGTCTCAAGTTTGTAGCATGGTTACAAGTTGCTTTATGTTGCCGAAAGAAAGAAAGAACTCGTGAATTCGTAATCACGCTTATGCACAGTTCCCTCTTCAATCAGAACATCTCTAACTTGCAATACTTTGATCCACAGCGACAAAAACATTTGCAGTTCACGGCCTCATTTGCTTCAATCACAACCCGATTATGAGACGATTTCTGAGAGCATGATTTGGGAAGGTGCTGCCATTAACGATCAAAGTATACACAACATGCTTGATAAGGTTAGGAAAAAGCAAAAGTTTGCTAAAATCAGCAGTCCATGAGGTTCCATTCCCTTGCATAGTCATCTTTGCAACTGTGGCCCTTTAAGTTCATACCCTTCACAACTTTCCTAGCCACAAAAACTTGATCAATTGATTAAAGGGACCGTTTGATTGGTCCAACTTGACCACATCAACCCCATGATTTAAGCCAGAGAACATGTTATCAACAATGTTCAGACCATTCACTATCCCTTTTACTGATTTTAACACAATGTTAGCATCACCAAGGAAGAAACTGCTAGAGATATGAAGTTGAACGGGGTCTCTGCA